GCCCTTTCTTTACTGAGTTTATCAAAAAGGTTTAAAAAAGTGTGAGGAAACAGCCAATGAGAATGACAGTTTTTAATTTACTGACACGTGACAAAGAAAACTAACGAATCAGACAAACATTTTCCTCGGATTAAAAGTGTCTAATTCCTCATTTTGCTTTAAATTCCAGTCTTAAAATGACATTTTTCCTCTTTCATACTAAAACGTTACAGCAGAAATAAACATGTTCACATGCCTCACCTCTATGGACATGTAGATAGTTTTCACCAACTCCTTCAGTGCACAGAGATTATTGAAATAAGTCAAATTCACCTTGAATAATATTTCCTGAATATTTTTGGTCTGTTGGCAACAAGGTTCGACTCATTTTCCGCTCTGTCCTATAATCACTGGATGATTTCTTTGTTATATGTGATACTAAAGCAAATATCTTTACATTCTCCACTTCCTTTCAACAAAAAAGCCTAAACAATAAATAATCTGCACATTAACCTATAAAGAAGCCACGGCTGAACTCTGCATGTTCAGAATCTCTCTGTAAACTTATCAGAGCGTTTCCTGAACCATTAACTGTGAATGTCGTAACAGTCGTGGTGTATTTGGCCTCTGCTGGTGAAGAACGTAAACTCAGTCTGATAGCACCAGAACTGCAGAGCAGAATATTGTGAACACGCCGGCCTGACAGGAAGCCGATTAACCCGACGCAGGAAGGGGGAGCTGCTTCGGCAGAGAGAAGTGTTTGTTTCCACCAATGAGGACCGAGTCCTCGGGAGTTTAATCTCTAACCAGGCCAGACGTCCTGGCTGCGGTCGAACCAGCAGATCCGACCGTTCCTCCATCGAGCAGAGTGTTGGAGGCTCGAGGTGACGCCCTCGTTTCCAGACAGGTAACCAAAGGACATTCTGCCCCACGTCCATCGTTAGCTGACCACAGAGGTCAAAGGGCTGCTGCTGACTGTTTGAGCCGACTCCTCGAACGACTCCAACTGAGGCTGTCAGCAGGTGCACTCTGCACCTCCTAAACTCCTCCCTCGGCAGGAGGCTCCCCTCGGCTCAGTCAGCACATGGAGATGGTGACGTTGATCCCCAGGTTACCATTGTCAGCGAACAGATGGGCGATGGAGGTGTCGAAGACCAGGCAGTCACTGTTCATGATGGCGGCGGCCACGCCATCGTGGATGGAGCGCGGCGTGGCCTCCCAGGTGAGCCGGCGCCGGTTGCCGTTTAGCTCCAGGCGATAAGCGAAGTTTTCGGCCTGCTTCCGGGTGCCGATGAGCAGCACGACAGCAAAGAACTGCTGGTGACCTTCATACTTCTCCTGCTTCTCCAGCACCAGCATGAAGTGGTGGCTGAAACATGACTGCATCATCACCCAGTCGACGGCGCCCGGCAGATTGATGTCTGTCGCCAGGAAAACGATGTCCTCCCCCTGCAGCACGGAAACAAGTACCGATTAGGAAGAACTCAACGTTTTCACACTTCACACCTGAAATCATGAGGAAAAAAGCTGAAGAACCAGGAAGTGCTGTGGTGTCAGAGACGTGAGCAGAAAAGGTGAAACACTTGTGATCCCGTTTCTACACAGTGCCGTGTTTCTCTGTTTCGCTGCTGAGGATTCCTTAATAATTTACATTGTTTGTCTCAGCAGCTTGTACACCTGATGTGTAGGATGTCCTGAAATCTCTCCTAGCTGCTTCCAACTACATCCTGCATGTTCAGTTGGTGAGTAGTTAAATCTGCTGGTTACTTCAAACGGCGCTTTTGTTTGATTCAGAGGTTCCACTGAGACTGAATGCAGGGCTTTACACTGGTTAACGGTTGGAACGCTGACATGACAGCTCGACATTCATTGTGGATGCATTGTGTTAAAGCCCCAAAGTGCAGAAACAGTCAGAAGGACAGGCTGCAAACAAAGATGGTTCCCACTTTGCCCGTGTTTCTACCCCATACTGTGTGTCTGTAGAATCAAAGTTTGGATCTTGACCTGCAGCGTGGTGATGGACTTGTGAGCGTGCATGAGGTGAGGCATGACGGCCTCCAGTGAGCCATGCCACTTGCAGGTGGCTCCTGGGCACGGGCAGGTGTACGGCCTGAACTCGCACACCTCCTCGTGATCGGGCTTCTCGCTGTGGTGAAGAGACAGCGGGCAGCCGGCTGACGAATACTGCAGGGAGGACACACAACACAGTTAGAGGCACGCTCGACCTGAAACATCAGCTGCTGAAGGAAAGTCGCATCTCACATGAATATTACATCAAGGAAATTGACCTTTTTCCCTCACTGACAATCTACTTGATCTAATGTGGAAGTGCCTTAAACTTGCATTCTTTTCAATGTTGTAACATGACGGGGAAAATGACCCTTGGCCATGACCGGTGTTACCGCTTTGATGAGTTCATGGACTCACTCAGATCATACTTAATAAAAGTCCATTAGAGTCAAAGAATGGTTATGCTCACTGGCTAACGTACAGTTTTTCTGCCATCGTACGGTTTCTTGTTGAGATCCGGCCCTCGCCATCCAGGTTCAGCGTAAACACTCATCTTGAGGAAGTAACAACATTTATACTTTCTACAGTTAAAACTACGCTGTGTGCTTAAAACAGAATAAACACAGAAAAGTTGTAATATTTTTGGTCATTGTTAGTTTGGTTCGTTTTAAAAACTAAACTGAAACATTGTTGTGTTAGTCCAGGTCCAACACAAACCACTTTTCATTTCAGCGGTTCATTGATGCTTCTGTACTGATGTTTTGCCATTTCCACATTTTTCCTCCTGATAAATGTCTGAACTGTTGCCTCGGCTCAGAGGACATTAAATGAGGAGTAATTTAAATTTTCTGGATGAATTAAGAAGCTGGGATATAAAGACAGCCGATGGCTGCTGCCTTTATGCAGACAGGAGTGCGTTACTGTAATGGCTGCAGCTGTCTCCTTCATTTTCTGAAACGCTGAAGGTCACAGCGGTGAGACTCTCCCTCCCTCATCCCGTTTCATCTCCAACAACAGACTGACTACAGACAGACGGAGCTTATAGCGGGGCATGAAGGGGGGGGAGTGATGAGGAAGGCAGTAAATGAGGTATGAAAACAGCGAGGCGGTGAGGAGCTCAGGGAGACGGGAAGGCTCTCGGGGGAAGCGGACGATGTCGTTAGTGATGCCGTTTGAACATCGCCCCCTGGTTTTGGCGTGCTGGGAGAGCATCCATAAACATGAGGGGAGACACATCCAGACGAGAACGGCGTGTTCAGAAGATGACTGCTGATTGGGTGGTTTGACACCGGAACACCACACAGTACACGCTCTGCACCCAGCTGTCACAGCACATCATCGAGATATGGATCCATTATTTATACATCAAATATATGCAGGAGAGTAGCTTTGAACAGAAAACAGGATCCCAGATGCAGAACGGACATCTGTTCCATGTCTCTGATGTTCAATGGCATATCTTTCCCAGTCTTACTAACGCGGTGCTGGAATGGGGCAGACGTGTGCCCCGAAGATTTTTAAACTTCAGGAAGCACGTCTCAGGTCTCATTGGCCACTTTGTTCAGCTAAAGCATGATCTCATTTTAAGATTCTTCAAACTTTGAGACCTTTTTCCATAGTTCTTCTAAGTCTTGGAGATAGTTCACTCTTCTTAAGCTCAACTTCTACATCGGTGTAGCCTACACAAGGTTCAACTGTAGCACTTACATTACATTCATACTATACATTAGTCAGTTCAAACTGATCCATTCTGCCGATCAAGGTGAAAAATGGTGACAGAAGCAGCTGGAAATGTGAGGAAATAATGTGAGGAAATAATCACAGTAATTGTGGGCTGTGCCAACGTGACATTAGCTGTACTGAGAGTGCAAGTCAGGTTATGGAGTAAGCTCTGCGTAAGGGTTTCAGGATATGGTAAATGGCCTGTGTTTGTAAAGCACTTTACTAGTCCCCAAGGACCTCAAAGCGCTTTACATATCCAGTCATCCACCCACTGGTGATGGCAGCTACATTGTAGCCACAGCCACCCTGGGGCGCACTGACAGAGGCGAGGCTGCCGGACACTGGCGCCACCGGGCCCTCTGACCACCACCAGTAGGCAACGGGTGAAGTGTCTTGCCCAAGGACACAACGGCCGAGACTGTCCGAGCCGGGGCTCGAACCGGCAACCTTCCGATTACAAGGCGAACTCCCAACTCTTGAGCCACGATCGCCACCAGGATACTCCGTAGACTCAACACAAAAGTACAAAGTAAAGTATGACTGAGTGTTTCTCTAGGACTTAAGAACCATCAGTACGTTCACACCAAACACAAAGTTTTTCTTGAACTTTATGTTCTGCTCCTCCTCTTCCCATCAGCTGGGCAATTTTTCTGTGTCCATCATGAATGATTATGTTCAAGCAAGAACCAGGTAAACCTGTTTTGCCTCTGGTCTGTTTTTCAGGGATTTTGGTTTTTAGCAGAGATGGCACGATACCACTTTTTCATGTCCGATACCGATATGAATCCGATATAGTGTGTTTTTAATATCTTGCTGCATTTTGTATAAGTTCATACTCAAGTTTTAAAAAAACAAAACATTAAAGCTATTCTGTTATACCTGTATGCAAAAAAAAAACACACTGCACCCAAAATATTTCATAATTCAGCAACACTCATCAGTTTAATGAACTTAAACCTGCACCATCCTCCCTATTCTGGTATTTTAAAGAGTACTTAGCAGAAATATTAAGCCTAAATATTTAACCTAACTAATAGGGTCGCCCACTCGCAGCAAGAAAAAAAACCCCCCAAAAAAACCCATAGGGAACCACCCCCCACCCTCCGCCTCGTGATGCTTAATCAACATAATCTACTTTAATTTAATGCATGTCTAAAAAAAAATGCACATAAATCAATTATTTTTCCATCAATTCAACATCTTACTTCAACAGAACTGCAGACTGCACAGGTGGTGCCTTCCAAAAGCAAAAAGTACTACAGCTTAGTATTGCACTTAATAGTTACAGTAATGCACTTCTATACATCTTACATCAGATGAAAACTTTGGTTGTAAGATTCAGATAATTATTTATTAAAAGCTGGACATGACAGAAAAAGAAAGAAAAGTATGTCTTTGTGCCCCCTTTTCCCTGTTCATGCCCTATCGGCCCCCCTGGCTAAACTTTGCTAGCTCCGCCCCTGCACAGTTACGTCAGCTGTAGAAAAAGATCCTGGTGTAGAAAGTAATATTAAATACATTCTAACAACAGCTGATCAAGCTTAAACGTGCTGCTGTTGTTCAGCCGCTGGTTTCCTCTTTCTGGTGCAAAGTGGACCAAAAACAAACAAGAGAGACGGACTCACGACAGAAAAGCCGATCAGCTGATCAGTGATCAGTTTCACGATTGAAGTAGCAGCAGGAGAGAGAGAGGCAGTCGCTCCATATATCGGTTGTTAAGCTTAACACTGGAATGCTTTACAGACATTCAGAGATGAACTTACACACTTGCTTTACTTCTCTGGGATATCTTCCTCGGAGATGAAATGCTGGTTTGGTAGCGACGCTCCGAATGCTCAACCAGGTCTCGCACGCCACAGCCGCTCTATCACGTGAGCACACTGCTGCGACGTGCTACGGTTATGAGCAGAGTTACGCCATGTCACAAGTTTTGTGAGGTGCTTTGATGATATTTAATGGATCGGATTACATTTTTTATTTCTCTCTGATATCGATCCAGTCATTTAGGTCAGTATCGGACCGATTCGTGATATCGGATCGGTCCGTCTCTAGTTTTTAGTTCCTTCCTCAGTCTCTAGACTTCATTTAGACTCCTGCAGCAAATCTACATCCAACTCACGCATTAACCACAAAACCCTTTTAACTCCCACACAGCAACGTTTCACGCCATCCAAGTTGCCGTGGTATGTGTCGGCCTAATGTGTAGTCAGATGCACATCAGGTTATGTAAAAGGTTTTAGGTTAGGGTTAAACTGGGGTTCTGGTTCTGGTGTTAGCCATGAACCCGATGCAGAAGTACAATTCAAGTTTAGGAGTAACTGATATTTAGTGTCGGAGTTCCATCCATCCTTTTTTCCTGCTTATCTGGGGCCAGGTCACCGGGGCAGCGGTCCAAGCAGGGAAGCCTCCTCCAGCGAGTCCTGGCTCTGCCTGACAGTCGATTTAGAAATTAGCTAATTTTTCTAACAGTCGTTAAAACTCTTGTTAAGTTATGAGTCACGCACAGCTCAGAGCTGGAGGTCAAGCAGGAATGCAGAGCAACCGGTGAATTAACAGCTTCACGTTCACGCTTTGCTACATTGGGAATGAGGTGGGTTGAGTTTGGCGTGGGGAGTTTCAAGCTTGTTTTGGATCTCTGGTCCTCGAGTGGAGCAGGTCTGCTGTGGCTGAGAGAGCTGAGAAAATGAAACGGACCAAACTCACAGCTCTGATCATGTTGTCCTCAGTGTCAGTGACACGGCAAACGCCAGCATTCCCACTGATTCAATGCAACTGGTGTAAATGCAAAAGAAAAAAGCTTCTGAAGCTTTGCTGTTCTTGAAGGATGGGGAGCAGGTTGTTACCCTCAGGACGCTCAGAGAACTCTTTGGTGATAAAGTGGAACATATTTAGCCTCCTGAGCTTCAGCCGCTACAGTCTCCACCCAACGAAACATTCTCACGCCAAACAAGACGCTGTGATTTCTGCTAATGTGTGCTTATAATACAGTGAGGATAAAATGTCTGACAGCAGATCTGCCTTTGTTGAAGCTCATTATTGAGGCATTCTGGCCAGTGTAGTAATCATTTAAGCTGTAAAGCATCACTCTGCTGCCTAAACACAATAAACAAACCTCAAACACGCTCTGTTAATAAAATAGGATATAACCGGTTTTGGCTAAGCCTGAAGAACTGCTGTCAGAGACTGAGCGTTATCTCAGTCGGCAGCACGATAAGTAGATTAACGTCTGGAAGGCGACTGCTGGAGAGGGTCTGGCTGTCAGGATGGATAAGGAGCACACCTACACATCTGCAGGAGGAGAAAACAGGATGATCCTCCATTTATTCACTAATGTATAACACGAACCACTTCCTGTTTGTGTTAACACAGATCTGGTGAAACACTTGTCTACTACAACAGGCAGCACAACCTGCTGCGAGGTCAGGAGACAGCATCAGACTCATGACCAGGAG